GTTGTAACACTAGTTGGGAAAAGAAAAGATAAATTTTCTGTCCTTGAGCCTCTGAAAAATACCTTTAGCCTTTAGAGAATTGTGAGGGAAACATGTTTTAATATGGACTTATGAGTTCCTATGGTGAAAAAAGAATAGGTCGGTGTGAAGTTTAGCAGGAGGATACATTTATTAGAGATAGGAGCTGTAATGCCTTCCTAAAGTAGAAAACTGCAAAAAGGGAAAAATGGAAGGGAAAATGAAGACATGGAAGTAAAGAGAGATGAGGCTACTTAAAAAAATTAATGGGTAATGGAATTTCAGTAAATTCTTGAGTTAATTTCAGCAAAGATTTAAATTCTGAATATGTATTTTATTTCGAGGGGAGGTTGATTCTGAAGGTGAAAATGTGTTTCATGAGAATGTTTAGAATTTCATTTTGATATTGAAGACTAAGGGCTTTTTTAAATTCTTCTTTTCTAGTTTCTATTCATCCAATGAGTACATTCCTAAGAATCTGTTGTCAGATTTTTAGTTGATTTGCTCATGGCCTGTTTTTGTGCCTGTATTATATAACTTTTGGGGAAGCATTTTCTGTTTTTGTTTTCATCAAATAGTTGTATTCCAACAAAAAGCTGTATCTTTCACATTTTATGGAGGCTTTCCCATCTGTATATGGTATAGTACCACTTGAATTGCAACTCTTGGATCTAATTTAAAATAACTCTGCTTGATACATTTGAAAGTTAAAATACCATGTGTGGACAATTCATGTTCAGTTTATGGGACTTAATTCCTGTTTCATGAATAAAGATCATAGAGTCTTTGAAGCACTCCATAATTTCCCTTACCTGGAGTCCTTCACTTCATTTCTGGCTATTCCCATTAATGCCCTTTTTTGGGATCTCATGGGTGTCATGTCAAGTGGTTAATGGAAAGATGGGGTTAAAAAAAAAAAAAAAACCAAACCCTGTGCATATGGAAATCTGAACTCATAAAACATTCTGAATAGTGGGTGATTATTAAAACTACAAATAAAGAAATGAAAACTATAAGACTCCTATTTCAGTATAACCTTCCCTGGTGTGTTTAAATATTAAGTGCATGTAGGGAGTCTCACAAAATCGAAAGCTAAATTTTAGGAACTGTTGGCAATTGTATATTAATCAGAAATTAATATTGGCATATCAAAAATTATAATGTGTGCTACTTCTGTTTGTTAAACCTCAAATTCCCCTCTCCAAAATAGACCAGGAAAAGTAGGAAAAAAGTAATCATGCAAATAGCTTTTAGTAATCATCTTCATCAGTTTTAAAAATAATACTGATAGGCTGGGCACGGTGGCTCACGCCTGTAATCCTAGCACTCTGGGAGGCCGAGGCGGGCAGATCGTTTGAGCTCAGGAGTTCGAGACCAGCCTTAGCAAGAGCAAGACCCCATCTCTACTAAAAATAGAAAGAAATTAGCTGGACAACTAAAATATATAAAAAATATATATATATATAAAAAATTAGCCGGGCATGGTGGTGCATGCCCTGTAGTCCCAGCTACTCGGGAGGCTGAGGCAGAAGGATTGCTTGAGCCCAGGAGTTTGAGGTTGCTGTGAGCTAGGCTGACGCCACGGCACTCACTCTAGCCCGGGCAACAAAGCGAGACTCTGTCTCAGAAAATAATAATAATACTGATAAGTTTATATTTACACCATATACTTTATTTATATTCACACCATATACTTCACTCATTTAATAGAATGGAATTGTTGGGTCACATGTAAATTCTACATTTAACTTTCTGAGGAACTGCCCAAGTATTTTCCAAAGCATCTATTTCATTTTACCTTCCCACAAGCAGTGTATGAGATTTCCAGTATTCCCACACCTTGTTTTTTATCCGTCTTTTTATTTATAGCCACCCTGGTACGTGTGAAATTGGCATCTCATTGTGGTTTTGACTTGCATTTGCCTAATAGATAATAATGCTGAGCAGCATCTTTTCATGTGTTTATTGGCCATTTGTATAACTTCTTTGGAGATAAGCTTATTTAAATTTTTTGTCCATTTTTTAAAAAACTTTTTTTTTTTTTTTTTGGTACAGAGTCTCACTGTGTTGCCCGGGCTAGAGTGCCGTGGCGTCATCCTAGCTCACAGCAACCTCAGACTCCTGGGCTCAAGGGATCCTCCTGCCTCAGCCTCCCGAGTAGCTGGGACTACAGGCATGCGCCACCATGCCCAGCTAATTTTTCTATATATTTTAGTTGTCCAATTAATTTCTTTCTAATTTTTTAGTAGAGACGGGGTCTCGCTCTTGCTCAGGCTGGTTTCGAACTCCTGAGCTCAAACAATCCGCCCGCCTCGGCCTCCCAGAGTGCTAGGATTACAGGCGTGAGCCACGGCGCCCGGCCTTAAAAAACTTTTTATTGTAAAATACAAATAACATAAACTTTACCATTTTAAGCGTACAATTCATTGGCATTAAGTACATTCACAATGTTGTACAACCATCACTACCATCCCTCCTCAAAACTTTTTGTTACCAAACTGAAACTGTACACATTAAACAATAACTCCCTTATGCCTCTATCTCCTCAGCTCCTGACAACTACCATTCTCTTGTCTCTGAACTTGACTATTCTAGATACTTCATATAAGTGGAATCATACAATTTTTATTCTTTTGTGTCTGGCTTATTACACTTTGCACATTGTCTTCAAGGTTAATCCATGTGGTAGCATATCAGAATTTCCATCCTTTCAAAGGCTGAATAGTGTCCCATTTTATGTAATATATCACATTATATCCCTTTATCTATTGATGGACAGTTGGGGTTATTTTTACCATTTGGCTGTTGTTAATAATATTGCTATGAACATTGGTGTCGAAGTGTCTGGTTGAGTTCCTCCTTTTAATTCTTTTGGGGATCTACCCAGAAATGGAATTGCTGGATCATATCATAATTTTAGTGGTTCTTTTTGTTTGTTTGTTTGATTTTGAGGAACCATACTGTTTTCCACAGTGGCAAGAGTCCCACCAGCAATGCACAAGGTTTCAGTTTCTCTGCATACTTGCCAGCCCCAGTACTTGTTATTATTTTGAAATTTGAATAATAGCCAACCTAATGGGTGTGATGTTTTATCTCATTGTGGTTTTGATTTATATTTTCCTAAGATTAGTGATGTGAGTTATCTTCTCATGTGCTTGTTGGCCATTTGCATATCTTCTTTGGAGAAATATATCTTCAAGTACTTTGCCCATCTTTTAATTGGGTTGTGTTTTTTGGTTGAGTTGTATGTAGGAGTTTTTTATATATCTTGAATATTAATGCCTTAGCAGACATAAAAATTTCCAAGTATTTTCTCCCATTTCATGGGTTGCGTTTTCACTCTGTTAGTGGTATTTGATGCACAAAATTTCCAAGTTTTGTATAGTCAGTTTATTTCTTTAGTCGCTTGTGTTTTTGGTGTCACACAGTATCTTTTATATCAACACTGCTTTCAAAATGTCTTGGGAATGTATCAGGAGCCTTCCAAGCTCAGGATGAAGAATAAAAGTTTTCTAAACTTTTAGTTTTTTGCTTGGAGGTTCACATTTTATCATTGGTAACAAGTATTTTCATCTGTTTCTCTTGAAATGATAGGCTCACTTTATTCATTTTCAAGAAAATGTCTACCACATTCTCCTCGTCTGTTAGCATTCTTTGTGTGGCAGTCCTTTCACGTAAAAGTGGTGTTCCGTGAAAAATGGCAGCTAGTTTAGCTGCCAGCAGTATTCAAGTGTTGTTCATTGAGATTTCCATACCGCTTTGATAAGCAGTATAAGTTCTTATGTGTGTATTTCTCATTTTGTTACACAGACTATTAAAAGATGTGTATTCAAGGATTGAGATTTAATGAAATTTGTAATTTTTCTTTATTACATTTTAAGTGAAACAGACTTTTTCTGTGAGAGGGTGGTGGTGAAGAAGGTGATGACCACTACTGCTAGCAGTACAGTTTGGTGCTGTTGCCTTGATTCTTGGTCAATTGCCATCAGTTTTATCCACCATTGCTTTTGTACCTTTCAATGCAAATGTCAACACAGTGAAAAAGTGAGCTCTTATTCTATGACAATAGCTTTGACCTCTTAGACCACAATTTGAAAGCTGCTGCCCTAATTTGGGGTTGCTGGATGGGACGGAAGGGTAATTACAGATTAGCATTCCCTTTAGTTTGTGTAATTTTAAGTAGTCCACCTGTGTAAGAGATTGATCTCCTGGTACTGTGTACCTGAGGAAATGGGTGGCATTCCTGATTCTTGCATCTCCTGGAGGTTAGGCCATTCAGGCAGATAAAATTATAAAATTTCCTCTTATATTAGTGGTAAAATGTGAGGGAAGAGGATAGAAAGGTGTTTATATTAATTTAATAAATAAAGAGATGAAAATTACATAAGGAAATTATGTATTTTCATTATGCAAGTACTGGTTGGGTAGAACCTACAAGATGTACCTTTTAAATGACAAAAGAACCTGAAAATACTCACTAAAAGAGAAAGAAGGGAGAAATTAAAGTTTATTCTGTTATTTAGCAGATGAAAGACAAGAAAGTTTATTAGTCCATGTAAGCCTTATAGTTCGGATGATAAGAGGTTAAGATATGGATTCATTCTGACTTGTCTTAAATGGAACACTAACAAACACCTCCCTGGTTAGGTTTGTTTTGAGGGATAGAGTCAAAAAGAAATACTATTTTAAACATCCTAAGAATGGGACCTAGCACACCATAGGCTTTCAGCCAGAGATGGTTCATTTTAAAGGTTTTAATCAGAGATTTGGGTTTTGTTTAGGTTGGGGAAGTTGGATGGAATTGGCTTGGAGCTTGTGAAATTGATCAGGCATGATGACGCATGCTTCTGAACAAAGATGTTCTCACTACTGATTATTCACATCTTAATTTTGTGTTGTGGTATATTCTGTATTTGTGCTCTGTGTTCAAGAATTGTAAAGCTACATGGTATCATATATATTTTTTAATTTTCTGTTTATAGGATTCAGTGGTCCCAATTTAAAGGCTATTTTATTTTCAAACTGGAGAAAGTGATGGATGATTTCAGAACTTCAGCTCCTGAACCAAGGGGTCCTCCCAACCCTAATGTTGAATATATTCCCTTTGATGAAATGAAGGAAAGAATACTGAAAATTGTCACTGGATTTAATGGGTATGCACTTAATACTATTTTAAAGATTTAATTTGTAGCAAAACTTTATAGATTCTCTTAAGTTTTAATGTGTCTGGTTGTTTGAGAATTGATTATACATTAAAATAAGTTCTGTTTCTTGTGACATATGATACTTAATGATTTTTAGCTTACAAGGATTTAAAATATTTACTGCCTCCCCCCACCACCATCTTTTAAAGAAACTAGAACTACCTTTATGGATGTCAGTGACATTCAGATTTTAAATGGGCATGACAGTGGAAACATTCATTTATCAGGAAATATTTAAATTTTTTTTCTTGGTTTGTATTTGGTATGTCTTTATACTTTGTATAGAACCTGTATATCATTAAGAGAAGTTACATTTCTTTTAAAATGAGAAATAGCAGTTTATAAAAGTATTCTACTTATTAGTAAGCTCTTAGAAATTTTTTTTGAGTC